TTGATGTTATTCTTTATCATATCAGTCTCTGACAGGCTATCAGAGAGGGTGATGAATTGTTTTTCCATCTGAGAGGCAGGGAAGAAGAGGGAGGGATGTTGCCGCCTCGCTTCCTGTGTGTTGCACAAACACACAGCAAAGTGTTCATGAAATGACATTCAAATCGTCAGTAGTGGTCAGGCAGTCTGTTGATTTTTCTATTCATCTTCGTGAAGAAACAAGGGTGCCTTTAATTCAAATCCTCAAATTACGTCAAGTCATGAGATTACAGGGAGTCCTCTCTTTCAAATGGGCATGTTTTCAGATATTTACTTTTACTAAACCAAAACGAGTTGTAAAGCCTACTGTAGGTAATGAATGAAAATACAGAGACTGATAGGCAGACTGTGTCCTAAATCAAGCTTTAGTGCAATTCTTCTGGAGATTTATTTCATCGGCAAATGCAGTTTCCATAATCATATCTGTGTCCTCATATTAGAAAGATAATTAACAGCACTAATGATCACGTTAAGTTCATTACACATTCACTGCCAGCCCAGAATGAAGTTGACATTATGTTGCCTTATCATCAGAGGTGGCGTATTGTTGGGAAGTCATTAAAATGGAAATGAGTGTGATGTTCTGATGTTAATTGCAGAGGGAAGAGATGAGTTATGTATTTAATGCAGCATTTAAAAAGCCAATGAGGTTCCTATCTGCTAAATAGGGTAATTAATGCTATATATTACTTATGTTTGTCCAAATGAAGGAATGACATTAGGAGATGATGACGCCAACTTGCTGTTTATCTGTCGCAACACGACTCAAGCTCGCAAACTTCATTATTACACTCTTTTTTTGGACCTTAATATTTCTATAATCTTCCTTCAAATTACCCCTTTATTTCTTGCTCTGCATAACTTCTCATTTGGATGGGCAGTCAGTAATTTAGAGAGACTGTTTTCATTTCCAGAGGGCTGGAAAGTTTTACACATGGGTTTACTTATTTCTCAAATTCACATCTCTAGTATTACAGAAGGAGCGGTTAGTTTTTAGTGCACTTGAAATCAATTATTTCTGCAAAACAAAGAATTAGCATCTGTAAATAAGACTAGACGTGAAGACTTATTACTACATATTCATTGAGTCAATTAAAAGGCTTTCCTGGTCAGCTGTGAGGATGGACACATGTTGTTTCACTGGTCTCTCAGCGAGCACTGCTGTGATGATGGGCTTGATGAAGCAGTTAACAGTCAGAATATGATCCCAGTGTGTCTGCTGAACATCAGCATCCTGCAGTGTCAACACGGCTCTGTTTCTGCTTTTTCTATTTTTTGTTTTTGTTTATGTGTTAATCAACACGCACACGCTAGCCTTGCTCATGACTGTGGTGTGGCTCAGTGATATTAATGTTTATGTTAATTAGATCACACCAACAAATGATTACATTTCCAGGCAGGGTTATTGTAAGACTGTAGCCACTAGCTTATTTTGCCCAGTGAATGCAATTTCGAACTGATGTAATTGTATGAATGCATTGTAATTGCATAAGGAAACAACAATACCATTATGAATATACAATCTCCGTGACCATGATGTGTGTTTACAATATGAGCTAGAGAAAGAGCGATTGTGCTGCCCGCTCTTTTCATTTTCCACCCATCGGCTTACTCTGCTTTCTCTGTAGGAGTTTCTGTCTTACATGGAGTCACGTCGACAAAGAGGTCACAGCATGTTTGAGAACATGAGGACCAACCACACACAGGTTTGACAGAAATGGAACCATGAACATACTGGAATAAATTACATTCAAAAGCCCAGGTCGGATCTGTAATGATTTTGTATCTCCACCTCATCTATTCCTTCTATCCGGGCCGGTTTGTGCACACCAGTTAAGAGCCAGCGAGTGGGAGCAGGTGAGCTCCAAGTGGCTGCGTGTGGAGGCCGAGCTGCTGAGGGAGAGAGCGGTTTTCGGCCCCGGCCCCGGCGTGCTGCTGAACCAGGACTGGGTGCAAGAGGCTGCCGAAGGACCCAACCGAACCAGATCCCGCATCCGCAGGAAGGCTCTGAGACGTTCCAAGCGGGTAAAGCCTTTTAGTTTACAGCGGCATCTTTGGAGCAGGGTGCTGTTTTAACTCCGATCTGTAACCGTGCCATTTGTTGAAGGTGCTTGGGACGAAGTGTCTGGGTTTAAGGACCGGCACGTCTGAGGAGAGCAAAAATAGACCCGAAGGTGACATGGGTGAGGAAATGTCTTTCTGTTTTTCGTTAATCAGAGTGTGGATGTTGGCTCACTAGGGGAACGTGTTCACGTTTTTGAATCAGAGCCCAAGATCCTGTGTGAAGTAGGAGCAGAAGCTAAAGAGGATGAACCGGAGGGGGGACAAGATTTCGACCGTCTGACCTTCTTCCCTGTCCTGAACGAGACAGCCGCCGTCGCTGGGGGACCACCCGGCTCCTTGACCCCCGAACCCTGCTCCCACACACAAGACTGCCACAACACGCGCATTATCCTGCAGGAGCTGCAGCCCGGAGAGGAGGTACTGGGTGTGTGCTGGGTTAAAGACGTCACGCCTCCTTTCTACCCTGCTAATATTCACAATCATAATTATCTGATGTAGACTAAGGGATTTCCATAGCCCAGCGCTGCTATCAGAATCCCATCTTTCCTCATTAGTGTAACGTTTTAATGTCGAGACCCAGATCAGCTCCTCTCATTCTTCCGGCGAGTTAGAATCCAAGGCACATGTTGACGGGGACTCTCATCACTCCGGCAACCAGCGGCGGCTTTTAATGTTTCTGACAGAAGTATTAATAAAAACAGTAGGAGGTGATGCGAGCTGTCTTGCATCAGCTTAGCAAGTGTGTGATGTGTACATGTGTGTCCTGTTGTCTTGGTTTAGTGAGAGTCCTGCTGAGCTTCCTGTCAAATCAACAGAGTCATTAGCTCTGAAAAATGCGTGCACACGCACACAGTAACACACAAAGGGAGACCCACTCATAATTAGCTTGCCAGCGCCAATAGTGTGATTATGACAGTAATGTGTGTGGGGAGAAATCAATGGTCTGACATTAGGCTCTCAGTCAATAAAAGTCCTCCTTTTCTCTCCTCCTGCCCGTCATCAGCTAAATCACCCACAGACTGATAACGCAAATCTGTTCAGTGCACGCTAAGGCGATAAGGAAACAAGTTTATTGTTATGTATTTAATCTTTCAACAACAATAAATACAATTGCCGTTTTTTCTGAAATCTAGTCATTGTTAGGGTCTTAATGCAAGTTTGAATTCAATGGTGGAGAATTGCCATACAATCAGACCATGATATAGCTCAACGGAAGACTCCTGTGTTGTGAGGCCTGGACACCTCGGATCTTTCGCCTCATGCCCAGTGATATTATGCGTCTTAGCATGTCTCTATGCATTCAGACAAGAGGTTTTGATCACTTAGCAGGTTCCCTGTTATGTGTGTGGCAGTGATTAATTCTCCCAATAATGGCCATGCAGTGCCTCCTCCTTTACCGAGTGTGTGTGACTTTGTTTCTGGGGGCAGGGAGTCTGATTTGATTAGTATAAATTGTGTGGCCCTGCGGGTGTGCCGGGGCCCCATATGGTTTTTGGGAACAGTGTCCCAGAGGGCCAACACAAGGGAGACAGCCAGGTGCACACACTCATTGTGAAATGAGGGGAGACAATAGAATTAGCCACACATTATCACAACGCAGTTAGCATTAGCCACAACTGGCGCTGAAAGCAGCATGTGCGTCCACTTTGGGGCTGGAACAAACGCACAGCCACACCACTCCCCATCAATCAGCTCTGATAATGAAGTGTTCAACTGTGTCTTTTTAATAATGATTAGAATATGTGATTAAAATGATCAATCAAAGTAAAGCCTGGAGTGCCTGCGTCGCTGCCATGTCATGTCCCGGGAGAGAAGCGGGCTGATGTGTGTATCGTGCCTCTCACCCCGGGGGGGGGGCAAGGGGCACAATGCAATCTCCCCGTATCTCTCTCCTCCCTCTGCAGGTGAAGGCTAAGACGAGTGTGGTGACGGTGAGCGGCCTCAGAGTGACCGAGGGGGTGCTGCTGTTTGGCAAAGACAGCCTGCTGTTGTGCGAGGGCTTCGCTCTCAGTCCCGCTGGAGATGTTTGTTGCAGGGAGCATCACCCCAGCAGGTACAGCTGTGTGTGTGTGTGTGTGTGTGTGTGTGTGTGTGTGTGTGTGTGCCACACGCTTGAGCAGTTGCAGCACAACAGTTTCAGTCGTTCCGATCATTCATCCCCGTGTGCCATTCTGTCCCTGCCAGTGTGAGGGACTCCTTTATTTCCACCATGTTGAGTACCGAGCTGCCTCCGGCACGCTGCAGACGCTGGCTCTATGAGGACATCAAGGACGCACGCTTCATACGTTTTCTTTTAGAGGTCAGACATACTAAAGCTCAAGCACAGTATAAACATGCATTTTATATGCAAAGTCCGTTTGTGCAGGATTAGGTGTGAGTCATTCACACTGTTAGATGTAGACGTGTTTCCCTGTTGTCTTATAGAAATCTCATTTGTTCTGAAATGAATAAATGCGCCCTCCGTTTTTTTTTCCATAATTATAAGTTTTAGATAATTGGTCATGATGCATTTTAAGTGAAGGTTTAAAAATGATGTGAGAGATAAAAATGTGCTGTTGAGTGTACGTTTGAAAAATAGTTACTGTGTTACTGTGTTACTCTGTTACTAACAGGACAACGCTATTGAAGTCTTCATGAAAAACGGACTTTCAGCCTTCCTTGTATTCCTGAATAAAGACCATGTCGCTGCATATAAAAGGTGCCGCACTTCAATAAAAAGGTTTTGTTCTATTGTTATTTACAGCATTATGATGACTAACCTTTCACTCTTTCCTCTCTCCCTCCAGGCTGTGCATGGTGGTGCCAGCATTAAAAGGCAGAGGGGCCGCAGAGGTGATTGCTAATGCCCGGTAAGTGTCCCCCGCTGGTCACAATCATCCAACAGACAAAACACTTACATGCAGTCACTCGTTTTATTTTATCAATTAAAACTGTGTGTACATAACACATTGGTTGTGTGGCACTTGTGTGGGTACACTATGCAAATACTAGCTTTTAGAGCTGCATAAAAGTGACATTCATTTCAGTTGTACTCTAGTGTGTGACGCTGTTCGCTCATCCGACCGGCTCGCATTCCGCCTTTCTTATTCGCCACACGTCCTGATCGACCGCTGCCACTGAGTTTGGTACCATCAGTCCGCGATAAGTCCTCACCCTTATCTCCTCGAACACGTCCCCTCTTCCTCCAGTTAGCCCTTCCCCATGCTCCTGGCATCTCCTAAGGCATGTCCTACACAGGCTGCTCTCATGGACCAGAAACACGTCTTCCTCTGCTTGAGCTTTTTCGTTCTCCACCCTCTCACCAACCCCCTGAACATGCGATAGAGGATTGTTCTTCATGTTCAACTTTGTTAGGTTGCTTAGCACTTTCAAAAACTCTGGTTGATTGATAAAGAGATTATCAAACAGACCCAATTCCTGCAGACAATCTAAGGCCTTCATTGTGGGAGGAAGGTTGTCTAGCTGGTTCATTCCCAGATTGAGACTCTTCAGGCTGGTGAGAGAACCTAACGTGGACGGTAATCCCGCGGAGATCAGGCGGTTGTTTGAAAGGTTGAGGTGGGTCAGTCCCACCAGGTTGCCGATGGACTCGGGCACAGACTCCAGTTTGTTGCTGTGTAGATCCAATCCCCTCAGTGACGAGAAGCTCCCGATGTTATCTGGGAGTTTCTGTATCAGGTTGCGACTGAGGTCCAACTCGTCCACGTTCTTCAGCTTTAGGAGACACTTGGGGAAGATGGTTATACCCATGTTGCTAAGCGTGAGTCTGCGCCGTCCATCCGGGGACAACCTTATTGCCTTTTTGGCGATCTTGAGGGTCAGCTTTGTCCCTTTGGCTCCCTTCCCTCTGTGCATGGTACTGCAACACACAGAGAACTACTCAACAGGACCGTTTAAAATTTCAGCACAGCTTCACTTTTGCCCTCAAGAGACAATCTCAGTAATCCATTGTATCTACACCACCACATCGTGCTATCGCAAATGCATGTGTTGTGTATGTTTCCGTGTGTGTGTGTGTGTGTGTGTGTGTGTGTGTGTGTGTGTGTGTGCAGGTGGGAGGTTGTGTGTGTGTGTGTAAGGCTGATGTGATTTATTCAGATACAAGGTCTTATGTATGGCCTGGGGCAATAGGGAAAGCCTGCTCTCTGAGCTGTGTGTGTGTGTGTCTGCAGTGTTATGTCTGCAGTAGTGCATGCTCACCCAGTGTTGCCCATGGGTGTATTTAAGAGCACAACTCTCTAATTAAGGCTAATGCAAGGGAACAATAGGGGAGAGAGAGAGAGGAAACAACATCGGGTAATACAGCAAAAACAAATGAGTGTCGATGTTGCCTCCATTCAACTGATTGAGCTGTTTGGCTCTTGTCTCCTCTCACACACAGTGCACTGACACAGACATGGGTGTACTCCCCGACAGTACATGTGCAAATGCCCGAAGAGTGAAATCAGGACTTTGATAAATGATAGTGGGGAGTGTTGAGAGTGTGATGAGGGCTTTGCTCTCCTTGCCTCCTTGTCTAAAAGAGCAAGGTGTGTGTCTGTTTGTCTCTGTGTTACACCCCAAGGCCCTCTCTCGCCTCATTCATCATCCTCAGGATGAGAGAGGTTATCCACTGGTGCTTGTTCCCATTATAACCTCCTGTAGAAAACTATTGCATGAAATTATTGCATGCAATTAGATAACACATACTGGGCCAAATGCAATGATTGATTTAGTGTAGTTTTACAAAATAATTTGGTCTGGAGTTATTGGACGAGGGGAGGAGTTATTGGTTGCACTTCGAGCAGCCCTCGCTCGCTAAAACCATCTACTGTTTTCCTCCTCATTCATTTTTCACTTTATAAATGAAGACATGTACTCACCATATTTTGGTATTTCGACTTGCCGTCAATTGGGTGATGAGAGAGTCTTGGCTTCTAGAAACGTGGCATCAACCAGCTCCAGCTCCTGTGAACTGGCCGTTCAGCTCGCAGCCTCTCACCCTGGAACCAAAAAACCCCCCCTCACCATGACTGAAGTCCCGATAGCACGTCACAGCAACAAAGACCTTCCGTCTGGTCAGCGTGCAGATAATCCCTGCTGATGCTACGTATGTGGCCCACATCGAGAGGAAAGATCAGGAATGCACTGTTGTGTATTTTCCTGGTACTTACTTCCCTCTTGTTTAATAGCGTTACTTAGCAACTGGGTAGCTTGGCGCCAGGAATTTATTGCCATGTTACTGGCCGCAGAGGGAAAAGAGATTTAAGGAGCAGTTGACTGCTTTGCTAATTTGACTGAACACGTTTGGATAGGTGTTAACATGAGTAAAATATGTAGCAACGTTAGTATAGATGTTTTGTTTGGCTAAACCCATTCTGGTAAATAAATTGGAAGGAAGATCATTTGATTTAACAGTTTTTATGCTCAACCGTCTGTTAAAGAGAAACCTTTGAGTTTGTGCCTCCATTTGAGCAAGCGCCAATTAAAAGATCCCCTTACAATATTCTTTGAACACCTAGCTCCAAGTAAATGAATAAAACAGCTGGAGAAGAAACTACGGTTTGTCTTCGCTGAGCTTGTGTGAGCAGGAAGTATAATTTTTCTCAGAATCAGTGAGCTGCTCCGTGTTTAACCAGTCAATCATTAAAACCTTTGAAAACTCGCGGTGGCTACAAGGGGAATCTGAGTCAGACGAGTTACAGTGTCACATCAAGTATCTTTCAACGCGTGGAAAGTCCTCCGTACTTCTGCTCATTATTCATGATACTAAGTGCGGCTCACCTCGACCCAATAACTTCCTCTACAGCTGTGTACACACACATTTTCAGTTTCACTCACTCACCTCCAGTAAGCTGCTTCCGAACTCCTCAGCTTTGCGTTCACACGTGGGTTGCTAGGCAACAGAGCAAGCAGTAAACTTTGTGTGGTGGGTTAGGGATCAGCTTCTAGCGCTCATTTACGGTGTTTCTTTGTTTTTATTGTGCTTCAGGAAGACGGCGGTGGTTGAAAAGGCAGCCCTTGTTAAATGGCAGGTAATGAAATAAACAGACCCTCAGCCATTTGGGTTTGTTGAAGTTTTTTTTTTTTTTTTTAAAGATCAACATCAGTAGAGGCCATCAAAACCGTTTAATTATAGTGGTGTAATGCAAGCACCACTTTTACCCTACTACTTTTTTAAGATAAATATTATACTATTTCTCTACCTTTTTGACAACTTTGGTTACTCTACAAATTATTTGTAGCGATTTTATTTTTCATATATATTTGATGAGTCCATGTTTATTTTCTGTATTATTCGGAATATAATTTTGAGGTTGGTACAAAACAAACATTCTTTGTCCTCTGGGTAATTATGTAAAGTAGTTCATTTTTATTAATAACAATTTATTCCACTGATCGCAACTATGTTCCTGTATCTGTCTTCAAGAGAGGGGACATAAGCAACTTTGAGTACTTGATGCATCTGAACACCATCGCTGGGAGGACGTACAATGACCTGATGCAGTATCCAGTCTTCCCGTGGGTTCTTGCGGACTACCAGTCGGAGGTTGGCTCACACACATTGGCCTCCTGTTATGAACATTTATATTCATATTGTAGGGCGGTGAGGTAATAAAAGTATTGGATTTACTGTCCTTTATAGACGCTCGATTTGTCGGATCCTTTGACTTTCCGTGACCTTTCTAAGCCGATGGGAGCTCAGACAGAAAAAAGGAGACGAATGTTCATCGAGAGATATGAAGAAATTGAGAGCATTGAGGATGAAGGTATGTTTTTTGTTCTTCACTTTTTATTGTTCTTGTCTTTTGCTGTTCCACTGAAATTTTATTCTGCGAAATTTCACTCTTTAGGAAATTTGTCTGCCCAATGCCACTACTGCACCCACTACTCCTCAGCCATCATCGTATGCTCCTTCCTTGTCCGGATGGAGCCCTTTTCACACACCTTCCAGGCACTGCAGGTCTCAGAAACTCATTCATGGTCCCTTATAAATCCAAGTCAGTGCACTTCCACGAATCCACAGGCCCTTGTGCAAACCCAGGGTTCCACAGGCCCACTGAAGTTCATCACTTTTGTTTTACTTTCCGACACAAACCTCTTACATGGGCTATTTTCAGCACTTCAGATCATTTTAGTGCAGCTTTGGTCTCAAAGCAGATCATTGGGAGATTTCAATATATATGCAAATAATTAAAGAAAGCATCTAAAAGAAGCGATTGCAAATAGCCTCGGATATTACCAAATTACGATACAGCATCCAATTGATTATAATGGAAAGCCATGCATATTTGATAGTCAGAATAAAGCAATAAAGATGTTGGTCTGGTGAATTACGGTGGCTTTTTGTCTTCTGAAGCACATAACGGGTGTGTAGTAATATCCATAAATGGATTTACATCTCTAACCAAGTTTACCCGTATATATGCTATTTTCATTCATTGAGGTAATTGTTTTATTCTAAATTACATTCTCCCTCATGAGATTTCCATCATAGATTATGGAATTTTACAGAAAGATGAAAAGCTTTCTTCAAATAGAAGCAAGCATTTCCTGCTTACATAATACAATGAAGGAAATAAAATAACACGCACTGCACTGAATCAAGCATAACTGCTTTATTAATACGATTGTTGTAAAGTTTGGTTCGGCGGTGCGCCGGCAGTCTGACAGTGCTGTGCGTCGTCTTCCCGCAGGGAGGCTTTGACATCGCAGAGCGGATGTTTTACAGCGTGAAGAAGGAATGGGAGTCGGCCTCCAGAGACAACACAGGGGACGTCAGAGAGCTCATCCCAGAGTTCTTCTACCTGCCCGACTTCCTGCTCAACTCCAACCACATCCAGCTGGGTCAGTCACAAAAGTCATCCTCTGTGTATCTCGACGAATGAGAACGAGTGATATTGGCCCTTTACAAGCGCTGTTTATTTATGGGCCCAAAGTATTTTGTATAACTTCATTTATTTTTTAACAAATCGTAATCAAAATACTTTTATTGCCCTTATTTCGTCAACGTAAAATAACCATTTGTTAACATTGACTTGCAGAAATGTAAATGAAATTACTCAATTGCTAAAGCACACACATGTCTTGTGGTTGTTCTAGTTAAGCACACAAATTAAACACTAACAAAACATGGAGAACCCCTGATGAAAACATTGCGTTGACTCTACAGACTTTACTTCTTTAAACTCCATTTTTTTAATCCATTTCTCCGTAGGCTCCATGGGCGATGGTACCGCTCTGGGAGATGTGGAGCTGCCTCCGTGGGCGAAAGGGGACCCCCAAGAGTTCATTAGAAACCACCGAGAGGTCAGTGACCCCCGCCTCACCAGGATTGTCTGTCGACTATTACGGGAATGTTCCTAAATGGGCTGATGATGTTTGTTTAAACTTGATGGTGCACATAAGACACAATGCTTTAGCATCTGAAACAAGTGTGTAGTGTAGCCGTTGGACTGTAATCGTGTTAGTTACAGTCATTCTGTTGGCCTTTGTTCTTTCCACCACAGTATAAGAGACAGATCTTATTCACAGCCGCCACTGTCTTATTCATCATAGTCTCTAAAGCCTGTTTGTGTCATTGAGCTTGGTTCAGTGACTTGCAGCACTGACTGACTACTCAAATATAATGACCGGTTGTTTTGCTTATCGAGACAATCTATGAAAAGGCATTCATCTGAAGTTTTGATGACAGACAGCGAAGGACAACAAGCGTATTCAGCAGCATTCAGCGCCAGCGCAAGAGGCCATTTTTCATAATGCCATCATTTCTTCCAGCTGTTTATGAGCTAAAATCTTTTAAGCCCTTTTTCCCCTTTTGCTGTGTGGTGTTATTGTATGTCTCACTTTCTCTCTGGTGGTCTGATTTCTTCTTTGAGACCCTCCTTTTTTCCATTCCTGGGGCATCTATGATGGTTATCACTCTGTAATCTACTGAACTACTCATATTGCCCACCATTCTCATAAAATTAGTGACTTTAGGAGATTGTTTTTTCCTTTCATAGACAAATTAACTCAGGACAATATATCCTTGTTATGATGTTTTTTTCCCCACATTTTCTGGTATTCCAGGATGGGTTTATTAACATTGGGTACAAGGATGCACATGCTGGTCATAAAGCCCACTTCTCCTTATTAACTCTTAAAAACCAATCGCCGGCTAATTCCACACAAATGATTCTTTAATTCAGACATGAAGACACGCTCATAACATGTCCTGCTGTTCCAGACTTCTAAATGGACTTTTGGAAGAAATGCTGTACCTGAATAATTTGATTGCTTGTGAATTCTTGTAGAAGTTTCTTCTTTTTCTAAACTCTCATATTAATGTTTTTGTTGCCTCTGTTATAACAGCGGGCCCCCACATTCCGTAATTAAGGACTGCCCAGTGCATATATAGTACGTTTATCATTTTTCTTGACTTAATTGTTTGCCACAATTTCCCTCAGGCCTTGGAAAGTGACTACGTGAGTGCCAACCTCCACCTGTGGATCGACCTGATTTTTGGGTACCGGCAGCAAGGTCCTGCTGCAATAGAAAGCGTGAACACGTTCCACCCTTACTTCTATGCTAAGAAAGGCCGCAGGGATGCTAGCGACCCCCTCATCAAAAGCACAATCTTGGGATACGTCAGCAACTTTGGCCAAGTTCCCAAACAGGTAAAAAGAAAAAAGCTGCAGTGCAAAAATGGTAAAAAACAAAAAATGTGAATCATCCGTGTCTCTTCAATAGCTCTTCACCAAGCCACATCCACCTCGCAGTGGCAGTAAGAAAGAAGGGTCATCAACAGCCCATCCGACTCCCTTTTTCTTCAAACTGGATAATCTGAAGACCACTGTGCAGCCATTTAGAGGTACAGATAAACAATTACAAGAGGGGGAAGAAATTGTTGAAGATTTGGGGAATTGTTCGACAGAGGCGGGCCGGCAGTTTCCACCAGCTGGCTGTAGCCTCATATTTAGCACACACTCAACTCAAATGTTAAATGAAGGCGCAAAATTAAAAAACTAATCATAACGAATAAACATGATTGCCAAAACATCTGGTTTAACAGAATGCTGAGTAAACTAGAGGCCTATGCGTTTGTCACCATTTGGTATTGTTCCTCCTTTATTGAATTTCACACTTTTATCTAAATGATTATATATAAGATGTGCCCAAATCTCAAGAGGATCGTTGAAACAGAGTGAGACTGT